ACTCAACGTGGCCCTGTGTGCCCGTTTTCTTGTTCTTTTTAAGGGATAGTTAAGTGGCTAGTGATACAGAAAATGCCAACTCAGCTGAAGTTTGTGACATGGAGAAATAAGGGCAGGGGGTGGAGGGGAGCTTTGTTCTTGCCATGATGTTGAACAGATTTGGAAACACAGTGCTGGTGTGCTGACAAGGGGCAGTGGGAAAAAACTGCTCATTAGTGCCCAAGTCTCCCACTGATGCCACCCTCCCAGCCCCCCACCCCCACTGCTAAGTCTATGAAGGAGTATCCAGGGATTCTGATTATGGCAATGAAAATCTTTCTGTCCTACTGAATGATTCATAATCTTCCTCAGTCCCTGTTCCCATACCAGTTATTTAGCTAAAAACCAACACAGCTATTTATATCATTTGGCCTATAAGTTCCTAAAAAGAAAGCTTTTGTGTCTCACTCTTTTACACCCGTTTTTTTCCCTTCCACTTTATCCTTTTGTCAAAAATGCTACAACCTCTTTCAAGCCGTCTGCTTGCCTGTCTATTGCCAAGTCAGGCTTAAACCTAATCTTTTTTTTTTTTTTGCTACTTGAAGGATGTCATTACGGGCACTAAATCCAGATGGGCCCAGGACAGGAGGAGGCAGAGTGCGAAGCCCCAGAGGGATTTTGGGAGAAGTGGGGTTTAAGACCTCTGGCTTACCACCCAACGGGCTCAGCCCTGTTTGCGACAACTTCAAGTATCACAAAGAATTAAACTGCACCCAAATAGTAAGTCTGTTGCTTCTGCCTCACTGGATGGGTGGAGGGAGCAAAAGGAACAGTCTGCGCCCTTCAACCCTCCAGTGGAATGACCCTCTCCGTTACTTCCATACCTGAAACCTTTGATTGGACACTGCCGGCAGATGGAGCACTTCGTCTGGTGTTTTACTTGTTCGGCGATGGCCACTCGATGAAGGACCGCCAGCCACACCATTGACTGTGGCTCTAAGTTGGCCCATCCCAGGAACTGAGCAGCCTCGATGGCTGGTTTGCCGTTTCCCTAGAAGAAGGAAAAGAGACAATCAAGTTCCACCACTTGCAAGGATGTACACCCCTCTCCTTTGAATCTGCCATATGCTGTATTCAATTTCCTGGGCTTGAGAATGATTGAATGGGATTAGTACTGTGGAGTCCTTGGTGCTTCCTGAGCTTGGTGGTTTGCTCACAGATGTTTCATTACCTGACTAGGTAACATCAGCAATGCTAGAAGGGAGTGGGGGCTGCTCTCTGTTTATATACAGTAGCTTGGCTTGTTAGTGGGGATGTTGTTTTCCCCTTGGTAGTTCCTTGATTAGGGTATTGTTGATTCTTTGTTGGGTGCTAATCCCTGCTTATCTGGGTGTAGGCTGCTGGAGAGGATGTGTTCTGGTCTTTTTG